TTTTTTTTTTTTTTTTTTTTTTTTTTTTTTTTTTTTTTTTTTTGCTGGGTTTGTCGAGCAAGTTGAAGATAATAGGCTTATAACCATGACAACCATGAAGTTTTATAGTTTGTTGCAGCTAAAAACTAATATGTTCGGCTCTTCTTTTATGTTTTGTCTACCATTGTGAATAGGAATTCAAATTCAATCCTAATGCAAAGAGTTTCACCCCATTTCAAGCACCTGTTAGGCCACCTTCACCAGCACCTGATGGTTCCTTCTACTACCAGAGCAACATGCCTGCAGTACCCCATATGCATGGGATGGCTTATGGTGTTGGTGTAAGTACATGTATATATTGTCTTCTTGTGTTGTTTCTCTTGAAAAATTAGCATATATTAAATATAATTGTATATACATTTATATGAATGCCTTTTTCTTAGCTGTTGATCTGTCATATCTGCTGGAATCTGCTACTTCGTCTAGATCTTATGGATCTTGACCTTTTCCGATGGTGTGAAGATTTCTGATTGATGCACTTCTGTAATAGTTCCCAACTTTTCATGGTTTTGCAGATTGGACCTTCATTTGCAGGTCAACAGCCTCTTGTATTTAACCCAATGGTTGCGCCAATGCAGTCACCACATGCATATGTACAGCCAAATGGACCTCAAGTATGGTTACTGAAATATGAAGTTGTGACTTTCTTAATCTCTTTTTTTCAAAGGCAAAGTTGCTGTACATTACAATTTTTATTCTTTTGAATGCAGTATGCACAACCCATGCTTCTTGGCCACCCCAGGCCTGCCATGTACATGCTGGGCTACCAACCTGTAAGGGTCCATTGATTGTTTTGATACCTTTTGGTTTTATTGTTGCCTTTCAGATTTTGCTTCTAGATTTTTTGGTTTTATTTCTGCCTTTTAGAACATGAGGTAAAATACACTTTTGGTCCCAAGACTTGAACTTAGATTTTCAAACCTATCCCTTCTGGTCTTTGAGATTGGAATTGAGCTTCTCCTTGGTCATTTGAGGCTTCAAAAGTGACATTATGGGTGTTATAATTATTCCTTCAGATTTGAAATTGGTTTCTAAGTGATCCTTGGTAAAGTTGACGTTAGTTGATCTAATGAACCGATGATGTGGGAGTTAAACGTGGGTTTGATGGTATGCGTTTCTTAAATAAGTTACTTGGGGATCAAATAAAAACCAATTTCAAACTTAAGGAACAAATTAAAAATCAAATTTAAAAATTGGAGATCAAATGTGTCACAAGTTCAAGACCAAATAGAAACTCCAACTCAAATCTCAAGGACCAAAAGTGTTGAGTGTTGTGTTTATATCTCGTTCCCGTTCATCCTGCTGGCCTTATACAGATTTTGAGGATTTTTTTTCTATTTGTACCAACAGGAAATGCCATACAAGGGGCGGGAGTATTAAACAGTCCCTCGGATGCTGCTATGCAGTTTTACTTCTTTGTATTGGATTCTTCTAAGCTCTTCGGACGCATTGCTTTGAACTGAACTGACAAGGAAAATGATTGGAAATATAGACACAATGTTGGGAGGAGAGGGGAGGGGAAGGGGGTGTCGCTCGCTTGGTATGGGGAGGAGTTAATTTCTTTTAGTTGAATCACTATTTTCCTCATCCCATGAATTTGATTTGGTAGATTTAAAAAAATAAATAAATAAATAGCCACCAATCACATCACATTTCTGTTCTTTTATTTATCAATCAACAGTTAGATGTTTGGGGGTTTTGTTTGTTTATCTATCTTCCAAGTCTACAACATTTTGCATTATATCTTCTTTGTGTTAGCATACAACTGATAATAGTTGAAATATCTTAATCCTAACTTTTAGGTGTGCTATATAAATCTTTCGCCGGGGCAGACTAGGCCATGTATTACATTGAAATGAAAACTTTGTTATTTCGTTCTCTTGTTTAGGCATTTTAATTTTACGTTGGATTTGTTACTTACATTTATCCAATTGGTTAGTGTTGTCAAATTGGGTTGGTTAAACATCATCCGGTGTACATTGGAGTATTGTGGGATGAGCTTTGTAATTTCCTAGTTTTTTCCTTAAAACTTTGATGATGATCTTGTTCAAAACCTTTTGAAATTTTGATTGTTGTTTCTAAGATGAGATCCTCATTATGTTTGGCAAGTATAACAATGTCGAGACAAAGTTATTTTGAGAATTATGTTAATGGTATGAAAGAACATTATGCATTTGGGCTGTTGGTGGTGTTCAGTTTTCTTATTTGAGACAATTTGATGAAAGAACTCAAAATAGATAGAAATTAAAAGAACTCAAAATACAAAAAGAAATTGTGAGACTCAATTTTTTTTTTTTTTTTTCCCAAAGCCCTCCGTTGTCTTTCTTGAGCTGGAAGCTAGTGGAGCAATGATACTGATCTTATTACTAAGGATTAATCGACATAATAATAGTATATTAGTGATACATGAGATGAAATATAAAGAAAACTATTAGACATGAAAAATTAAAATTAAAATTTTGCATATTTAGCCACTAAATTTATAAATATGACCTTTAATTTTTTTGTCGATTTAGAAAATAAACCGAATCGAAGATTTCAGAGAAAGCCGAACCTTGACCGGACCAGCACTTTTTAAAAACCAAAACTGGAAGAAGAATCCCATTCTGATAATCTCTAGGGTTTATTCAGCTCGTTCATTTGGTAATGGCGTCCACACTTCTGGTTCGGACGGGAAATTCCTTGATCAATCGGTTGCGATTGAATTCCACGCATCAGACTAGCAGGATTTGGTATCCCCAAACTTTGTCTCATGGCCACGGCGCTGAAGTCACTCCGATGCTGTTTCCTTCACTCTCTAAGCATCAGACTGCTCAGCATTTGCAGCAGAATGATACCGAAACGGTGAGGAAGCTCGAATCTGAAGGCATCTTCTTCCCATTTGGTCTTCCTTCGCTCCGGTTCTTCTTACCCGACGGTATGCTGTTTTTGCCTCTTCCGCTTGAACTGATCTTTAGAGTTAATTCGTAGTGTATGCGATTTCTGTTGCGTCCTATTTTTTTTTTCTTTTTTTTCTTTTCCTTCTTTTTGGGTTTTTGAGTGGGAGGATTAGCACCATCAGGCGGAAGAGGATTAGCACCATTCATTCTATCTAGAGGGCCTCCTCCATGCCGTTGGGCTCCGAGTGATGTGTTTTTGTGCAATATAATTTAGAGAGTTCGGACCATGTACCTTGGAAACTTAACTTTGCCACCTTGATTTGGGGCTTTTTTCTGGAGAACTTCAGTGTTGGCTAATAATAGTTGTTGTCATTCAATGGTTGAAGAGGTGTTGGCTTCATCTCCTTTACAGAACAAAGTGAGAAGCTTTGTGGGAAATGGCCTTTCTAGCTATTTTGTAGAAGCTCATCTAACCTGAGAGCAATCAAAGGCTCTTTATCCACACCTTGTTCTTAAGGTGTGTTCTATGGCAGAGTTCAATGATAGGATTAGGTAGTAGGGGTAATATGGTAATTAGGAGGTTGGTTCACTGGGTGTTTCTTTGGGGGATCTGGCAACGAGAGAGGGCAGGCAATACTGTGACTATTTTAAGCTTGAGTTGCTTAATAGGGGAGGTCTTTCTTAGGTGTCAAAACTCTCATTTTCAGCCTTCGTGAAAGAAATTTCCTTTAGCATTCTCAATGTTGTGCCCTGCAAGTTGAGCATCCTGAATAGAGGAAAACTCGTTTTAAGTAGTTAGTAAATATTTTGACCTTTCTGTGGCAGGCTGTCCGAGTCATGGAGATATAGATAGCAATTTTCATGGCTCAGATGATAATTTAACCTGTTATTAGGCACTAATTTTTTTTGTTTGCGCAGGAGATTATTCTTCCACTCAAGAACCAATGCTCTTATTTCCTAAAAGGACTTTTCAACCTAGCACCATCAGGCGGAAGAGGAATCATGGATTTTTTGCCCGGTATCTCCCCATTGCCTTTTCTGCATCTCTCCCTCTCTCTCTCTCTCTCTCTCTCTATATATATATATATATATAGTGTTTTCACAAGGGAGAATTCACAATCTGCAAATACTGTTATACTTTGGGTTAAACATGCTCGTTAGAGCTTGATGGTTAAGTTGGTAGTTGTTATAAATAGGAATCTTAGAACACGGTTGGGAATAACTTTGAAATGGTCAAAATCTCTTTTGTTGTATTCAAAATCACTCTGAAGCATGTCTTTAGCCATTCCTAAACTTAGCATGGCTTAATCAGCTAAACTTCACTGTCCTTACCCATGAACAATGGCTCTGAGGATGAGCATGTTTGAGAGTAATTTTGAAATGGTTAAAATCTCATGTAAATCACTGTCGAACATGATTTTAGTTATTAAAAATCGTGAAAATTGAGTTCAAACTGTTGATTTTAAATGCAGTTTTAGAGTAGATCACTCTCAGTCATGTCTTTGTCCATTCCTGAAATTAGGTTGGCTTAATCTGCTAAATTTCACCGTTCTTGCCTCTGAACCATGGCTCGCGGGCAATTTAATAGCATCATATGTTGTCCAGCTTCCTTAATACTCGACTACCCTATCTGAGTTGATTTGTGGCCTTAGGAGTAAAAAAAATACCAGCCTACGTAAATTAGTTTGGTTGGCAAGACTAGCTGAGAAGGAAAAGGTAACAAATCATTTCTAGATGGGCATTAAAAGACCATTTTTTTTTTTTTTTTCCTTCTTTGAGCAGCAAAGCAACCAAGGGTGGGCGTAAAGTGATTGCTCGAAGGATTGCGAAGGGGCGATCAAGAATAACAGCATAATATGTGTCTCAAAGTCAGGTGTATTTGAATTAGCCTGCCAACATCAACCTCTATCTTTTGTAGGTTATGCTACTTTTTTCTATTAACTTCAGACAAGCTACTCACCGTCTGTATAAACCTCTCTGTTTTTATGATTATCGTCGTGCATTAAACCAGTTTCACTTACTTTTATTTTTAATTTTTTTTCATTGCTTGGCTATGAAACATAGTAATTGATTTTTAGTCATTCTTGAAAATTATAGATAGGAGGGTGCAAGTACACGACGATTTTCTTTGTTTTGCATGTCACCTCTGTTCGTGCATCAAAAGTCAACATAGAAAAAAAAGAATTGAAATGAATTAAATATTTATAACTAAAAACTAAAAGTTATTCATCATGGCTGCCCTCTAAAACTATCAAATCAATTCTCCTCTTCTACCTGCAACAGAATACACCTCCTTGAATAATCTCATGAACTCGACACAACTAGTATTGTGACGTTCGAGGGCTCGAGAGCACCATGCAAGCGAGCCTAGGGGACATATGGATTCTAGGGCTAGGCCTTGGTGATGGAATTGGGAAATTGGAGTTGAATGCCTGTTGAACAGAGGTGATTCTTGGCGAGAGATTCAGCTTTTCCAATGCCTGAAATTGAAGCTTTGTTGGATATTCTCTTACGCAGCCTATTCGAGGACCGGCGCCTGTGGTCCACTTGCTTCTTCGTTGAACCACATTGCAGTGCCTTTCCATTTCCGCCGCTTCTCCCGACGGCGCTGCAGCTTTCTCGGTGGTGTCACCGCCCCCTGTCACTTCCTTCTCCTCCTCGGTGGTTTCATCGGTTTCTCCCTTCTCTCTGTTACTTGGTGGTACATCCTCGTCTGTTGCACATCTCTGCATTGTCCCAAAACTAAATTAGTGTTTTTTTCAAACAAATTCATATATTATACCAATAATTTAACCTAAAAAAACAAAGTTAATACCTTAACGTTTGTTAGGTCAACATTGTTCTCCTTCAAGAACTCAGTGAACTCAATGAAATTTTCTTCTGTGGGATGATAATGGCCACTATAAGGCCATATAGCCTGAAACAAAAACAAAAAAATCAATTTTCCAAAACCCTTTAATTTATAACATATGATATATGCATTTAAATAAATAAATAAATAAATTACCCTGAGAATGCCACTGTCAGCTACCAGTCTGCCGGAAGCTGTGGTGACTGCTCCGGCGAGAAAGCTGGAGTGTTGAAAATGGCCTTTAACTTTCTTCCCCACATACAGATTTCTTGAAGCACTAAGAACAAATATCCATTTGGAGTCATTCACTGTATTTACGAAATTGCCACTTTGTTTGTATACAAGCTTCCCTTCCTTCACTATCACTTCGTAAGCCTCCCTTTGATTCTACGCCACCAAAAACAAATAACCCGAGTTTGTATTAAATTTATTATATTTTAATTCTAGGTTTGCTGACCGAAACTCAACTTATTAATAAAAATTAATAATTAATAATTGCCATACTTACGGGTCCTAGATATTGAATACACTGTCGTTGGAGAATTGTTCTAGAACATTTTTCGAGATTCAACTCTTTTCCATCTCCGATGTCCAACCTTTATTTAAAATTGAAGAAATGATAGTTACTAAAATGCATATATTTAATCCAAATTAGATAATTATTTATTATTACTTACCAATAAAAGAAAGGCTGCGAGCTTAGAGTTTGGAACCAAACATTATAGTACATGTGGAGATTGTGGCCGTAGCGATGACGTGGATCGATCTGTTTCATTTGAACGGACAAGATTTGTTAAACTAACTTTTCTTCTTTATTTAAAAATATAATGCCGACTGGTAGCGTTCAAGTTTTGCTGTATAATTAAATTATTCCATTTATTGTATTAAAATAATTAGGAATTTTAAACAAATAAAAGACTTTCCAATTATGGAAACTTTGAACAGACTTACAGCTTCTAGCCAATGTCTCAAAGCCAATTTCTGAGCTTTTCCATTCTTTGATAAGCCTTTACCCACCTGCAACCCAACCCAATCCAACTAAGTTTAGTTACACGGTTAAATAAGATTTCATTTCGAGCCTAATTTAATTAGATAAAGTAAATAAATATTATAGATAATTTTTTGAATTTTGATCGATAACGACGTGTATTATCAATCCATTGATTGGTGGGATGGGAGGTTTGAATATAGCTTGAATTGACGGCTATACATTGTTGATGACAGATAATGATTGACTCATTACAAAAAGTCAACGTAAAGTTAAAAGAAAAATGAAAAATCAAAGCCCATTCAAATTATTCACCTAAAAAATATAAAACCCAGAACCCAAAACAGATCTTTAGTTCAAGAAAACTGTGTAAAAGGGAAAGATATGAATGTATGTGAAGAACAAAGGAGGTCCAAAATTTGACAGAAGAAAAAATCAAAATAAAGAACGATTAACTATCAACATCAAATGAATAAAATAAAATGAAGTACCTTTGCAGCTCTTGCTCCGGCCCTTGACCATTTCGATACGGCGGTTTCCGCCTTGTCGGACTCAAAAAACGACACTGAACTCCGCCGTAGAGCGGCGAAATCCAACGCCTTCCACCTGAGAACCCCATCAAAAGATAAAAATTATCATTCATTTTTATTAGAAGAAAAAAAAAAAAAAAAAAAACCTTGTTTTTTGTGGGGTTTGTTTTATTACCATAACTCTTCAACGACAACAGCGCAATCGGCGAGATTCCGTCTCGTTCGGTAACTTTTGTAAACCTTCTGCAATTTGACGGCGGCTGCATCAAACTGATGTCCGTCTGGCGCCGGAGACACCACCACGGAGCTTCTCGTTTTAGGGAGCGGAATTCCAGGCGGGTGGCCGGAATCCAAATTCCTAGTTGGCTGCAGCTTCAAATTGCCGGCATTCTTCTCCGACCGAAACCCCCAGTTAGCCTTCTTCGTCTCCGGCGACGACAACGCTTCCCCCGACGACTTCTCTATCACCGCACACATTGTCTGGCAGAAATATACGCAGAAGCAGAACCCACCTGAAAGAGGAATCCAAGAAATTGGTTTTGCTGTCTGGTTTGTTTTTGTATGTTCTTAGAATCACAAAGTTGTCGGTTTATATATATACACACACACACACACACATATATATATATAGAGAGAGAGAGAGAATTGAATTTGAATGAAGGTTGCAGGCGAATAAATAAAGGAATGGTTTGAATGGGAAAAAGAAAGTTGAATAAATAAATGACATTTTGAAGGAACACGAGACCGAGAGACTCTCATTTATGTTTCACTTTCTAACTTTGTATCTGTTTTTTTCCTTTGTGTGGAATGTCAGAATTCGTATTGTTTGTTACGCATATCAATTTTTTGACATCCTTCCCAACAAATTTAATTAACTTCTAGATCGAACACAAATATCGACCCAAATAATTGTTTTTTTTTTTTTTTTTTTTTCTTTAACATACCAATTTCCATAATAATAAAATAGGAACAGAACTTGTGTCCGTGTTTCATACTAGAATTAATGCATTTAATAATATATATTTTCCTTATTATATATATATTCAGAAAATGAATGTTTAAAAGGGAGAGGAGATTGTTTGAACAGCTTAGCCCAAGTTGCCTTTTTATTATTTCATTTCATAATATTGGCCGTCACCGTCCATGTACGACCGTACACCAATAAATTTGTATGACGTCATTTCTACCTCATTCTCTTTTATCTTCTTCATAATATCATTTACATTCACTATGTATTACTGAACAAAGGGATTAAAATTATTTTTAAGAAAAAAATCAATTTTAAACACCTACCCAATTGACACAACCTAGTTAGTTGAGTTACGTCTCCGGTCATCTTCAAATGCGCCATCCCTCGTCGACGAGTCAAACTTTCTATTCCTTTCTAGCGAGTCACTTTGTGTCCTTTTGAAGCCGAGTGGATAATAATGAATACAAAAACAATCTTCAAATGCTCGCTTCTTTTTCAATCTTTCTATGGTTACGTCTGCTTTTACCTTCTTCCGAGTACATATTTCAAGAGGAATATTTTTTATCTATGAATATGAAAAATCTACCCATTATTAGACTGAGGACCTCTACGATATGCAAGTGAATGTTAGAAATACCCTGGCAGCAAAAGGAACAGAATTCTCGAACAAATTGGGTACAAACTCCTCTAGAATTGAAAAATGAACTATTATATGTTTGTTTCACCGATAGTAAAAGTAAGTTATGCGATAAATAGTTTATTTTAATACATATTTGTTACCCGAGTTCTTCTACAACATGTCAATTATGACAGAAGCATGACATAATCCATTAGCTTATATTATGATTCAAACTTAAATTCTCGTACAAACAAAAACAGTCACATTCAATGTTTGAACATGAGTTCTTGTATATGTTTAAATACATATACTTTATATCATCATGGATTTAAATACCAAATGTATAATTTATTTAAAAAGAAAAGAAAAGAAAAGAAAAAGAGTAAGAATAAGAGAGAGAGAGGGAATTCATAGTTTGACTTTTCAAAGCATCCAAAAAAGTGGGCCAAAGAAATTGACCAATGAGCGTCAGAGAAATTCCAAGCTGAAACGACTTTCTCGGTTTCCACTTGTAACACAACATTAATCCTAATTAAGTACTTGGTCCCATTCCCATTTCTTTAATTTTGTATTTAATTCCTTAATTATGCCTTCTTAAACCCAATTAAAAAATTTTAATTCCTCATCCAATGTGTTTTTTATTCCTTAAATATTCTCTTATTTATTTATATCTTTTATATATGAGGATTGATATTTAGAAGACGCAATTAAGTTGTTCATTCAAAAAGCATAAATTGGTCGAGAAATATTCTATTAAATTAATACAATAAAAGAGTTTTCTAGAAATGCCTATGACTTCCTTTTTAAAAAACAAAAAAAGTTATTGAACTATTTTTATTAAAAAAGATATCCAACTTAAACATAGCTGACCAAGGTCATGTGTTATTTTCATCACATGTATTCGGCGGTCATAATTTAATTTTTTAAAAGGAGAAATATGTAATGGTGTTGATTTAAAAAAGTGAGGAAAAAGCAAATTGAGGAGAAAGTATATGTGAAACCTGTTTTTATTGAAAATTTTGATAAAATTCATCCACTTTTAACCTATGATGGGACGAAATTAAAAATATTTTGAAGATAAAAGAAGAAAGATTTAAGAATATTTTGTGAATGGATCCCCGGATTTGTGTTGGTTCCACAACTCAAAAGCAAACATCTTCATGGGTTTGTGATGGAATGGATGATTGTTTTATCCTGGGGTCGAGACTCTAAAGCTGGTTCCTGGGGTTTCCCTTTGCAGAGCCGCTGATGGGAAATCGCCAAGATGGAATAATCAACCGCTCAAATCTCGCAGATATCAATAAGAAATCCCTAGGCGATATTGGACAGCAGAGGAGCCATCTCCAAAACGTACCATCTCTGCATTTGATGCTTAAACTGCCTTCTCTGCTTACCCATTTTCATCCTTTTCTTTTCGCAATATGCTTTCTTTGTCCTTCCTTTTCTAATCAATGCCCCCCATGTGTGTTAGCCTAAGGCTTGCTTCCCATCTCAATTCTCCAAATACACTCAAATTCAATATTGGGTATGTAGACATAGAAACCACTAGTTAGTGCCTGCAATGTGTTTGATTATTTGCTCATGTGAAAGTTTTGGCCTAATGCTTCGAACTCTGACATAATTCATAACACTTGTTCAAATAGAACCAAATAAGCGATTAAACTTTCATGTGGGATGTTAATATTTGGTATCTTGATTCCTTAAAAGGAAGACTGTAGTGATTTCCATCTTGATTATAACCCAAATGGATGGCTGAGATTGAATTTGGAGCTGCATTCTTACTACTCTGTAAAAGATCGACCCCATTTCTATTACCTTATTTAATTGATGCAATTTTTTTCCTTCTCCTCCATAAATAGCCCCTCTGTCAATGGATCTTCTCTTCTTTAAATAGGAATGAAACTGGCAGCGGTGAAATAAAGCCCCTGCAGTCAAGGTAGCTGGTGTTTTTATTGCTCTTCTTCTCCATATTTACACTGCTTCTGGGAAATGTGAACCTGCTTGATACCCTCAATTTATCTGTCTGGGTTTTGAAGAAGACATGAAAGGAACATATTATTGTTTTATGTTCATTCTGCATTTAGCTTGTTGGGTTTCTGCTAAAACCACCGCTCTTGCACCAAATCATCCTCTCCTTCCTCATAAACAACAACGTCTGTTGCCGGCTCTTGTCTCAGCCTCTTCTAATTCAAAACAGGTCAAGCTTCGATTTGCTTATATGTCCCTGAAATAAGTTTAGATTTCTTATTATTAGTCCCGTGTTCGAATCACGGCTCTCGAGTCGATGTGTTGAACTCATTTTTCTGTGTGTTTTTGAAGGGTGTTGGAGGTGTAAATGAAGAAGAAATGTTGTATAGAGGGATGAGAGGAATGGGTTCAGGGCGGCCGAGGTGTGAGCACAAATGCTATGGATGCAGTCCGTGTGAAGCCATTGAAGTGCCTACCAACAACAACAACAGCAAGAACAACAACAAGAGGCGCACCCACGTGGGGGTCCAATACACCAACTATGAGCCCGAGGGATGGAAATGCAAGTGTGGCCATTCCTTTTACACCCCTTGATTCTAACTTACTTGCTTTTCAATTATTGCTTCGTCTTCTTTAGTCACATGAACCCCCTATCACTTCAAAACTCATGTCAATATAACATAACTAAAATCTTATCAATTATTTCCATTCATTCAGGGTTAGATACTAACATTAATTAGGTTAATTTATAACTTAGTTTAAATGAGATGAAGAATGGAATATGTTAAGTAAGTTAGTTTATTCAACTCCACGTGTTAATTTTAACCATCTTGGTCCTAAAGTTTTATGTTATGCTCTTTATTCTTTATTCCAAATATGTCCCTCTGTGTCCAGCTTTGATGGGCCATTTGAACAACTTGTCTTATCTCCCGACCTTGGCATCCATGGGCTGACAAGTCACAACAAAATGTTTTTTTGGTTTTACGTGTTCTCGTGGAATTTGGACTTTTTGTTACCTTGTCTTGTCCTTACAACTATATCCACCTAACAACCTATCCTAAATTAATGTAAGAGTCCAGAATGTATTCCAAGGGAATTCACAAGTTTAGCTCCAGAATTATTAAATATTATCCAATAATTAAGATGTATATTTCGGATCAATTTTAAATGGAAAAGAACGTGGTGTTATTACAATATTCATATCCGCTTTTAACCGAATCATGTAAATAAAACCATTTTGTTTATTTAAACTATTTTTTATATATTTTTTTTTTTTTGAATTTAAATTGATTTTATATGGAGAATGGGTCAAAAGGGAATTTTAATTGCTCTAACTAAATTCTATCTTATCAAAATAGCATGTCCCCGCTATTCTGGGCCTATCGTGTGTATGCATTATAAAGGAAAATACTCTAATTTTATTCTCTTACAATATTCTAAATATGGCATCAAAAGATTTGTTATTCCATTAAGAGGTAAATATTGATTAAAATGCAGGTTAGAAGATAATTAAATTATTTTCGATGTTGGTGACAAAGTTTTAACTTAAGTGTACGGAATATAACATTAATTGGATTCCTTGTGTGTCAACATCATTGCATGCCAGAGGAGCAGAGACAATTCAGCGTTTGGATTAAGCGCCAAGGGCTTCTCTTTCAACCCAAACGACGTCGTTACAATGGTAAGAATCCGAAACCCAAAATAAAAGAAAAACAAAAGAGAGAAAAGACGGTATCCTTTAATAAAGGATTGTAACTGTTAGCGATTTGCTATTTCTTTCCGCTTCGATTGGATCAAAGCCAGAGAGAGAAACAAAGGAGATTTCTGTGGAATTGTTTGTTCTTCAATCCGCCCTCATCGTGTTCTTCATTCTTTTTCTTCTTCTTCTTCTTCTTCTTCTTCTAGTGCTATCAACCGCTTTGATTCATTTTTTCGATGAGAAACGATTTCGTTTCTCAATTTTCGCCTCTGTTTCATCTCTCCTTCATGATTTCATTCCGCAACCGTCTTTTTGCTTCTTGATGATCATCTGTCCGGTCTTTTAGCCGTCAATCCAAGGCCTTGACGGTGTTTCTGTCTTTTTCCCCGGGATTTTTCGTCTAGGACTTGTTTTGATTGATCCTAGGGTTTTCTATTTCTTTTTTCTTTCTGCAAGAATTTTGTATCATGGAGCCGCGAGTTGGAAACAAATTTAAACTCGGTCGCAAGATTGGGAGCGGATCGTTCGGAGAAATCTATCTCGGTTTGCTCTTTTTTTTTTTTTTGGAGTGGTTCTGCTTTTCATGCGTGATTCTCTGTAGCTTTTCTAATTTGATTTTGATATTGTTTTTTTTATTTCAGGTACTAATATTCAGACGAACGAAGAAGTCGCGATTAAGCTTGTGAGCAAATTTTGTGCAATTGGTTTGTTTTTGCGGCTGTCGTTGAAAATATATCGAGATGCTTCCCAATATGTCCTATTTGTTAACCTTATCATTCTGTCCTGTTATTAACTTTTTGTTCTCTTTTTGCAAAATAGACATGCATGCGTATTTGACTAGGAATTTGAGATAGGACATAAATTAATTCCTTTATTTTAATCGAGACCGTGGAAGATAGAGCTTCCTGAAGGCTGTGTTAAGAGTTTGATTTATCAAAAGTTCAAAACCTTGGCGTACTTCTGGTAGAGTTATGAAGGCGCCTGAAAAGTTCATGCAAGTTCGTTTGGATAGGTATCTGTAGAGAATGGTCTCCACGTTGAGTTGATTTCTGCTAGAATCTTCATAATGACTTAATGAGGTTGTGTTGATCATCAGTAATCAGTATTCTCATACAAAGGGTTGATGTTAACACAAGTACTTGGTTATGGCCCATGGGTTCGAAGTCCATAGTTCTCTCAATCTCACTCACATTAATATCTATTGTCAAACTTGTGAATGCTGAAAGTGATGGATTTTTAGTTAGAAAAGAATGAGCACGAAACTCATGCAGTTCATCTGTCACCAATGAGATATTCATTTATTTTATACTTTTCAGCATTTAAGTGGAGCATAGGATAATAACTTTTTCATGATAAGATGGGCTGATAAGTTATCCCGACGGTACTTCGTTAGCTGTTGGCTCAGATTAAGCTTGAAATTAGTTGCAACTTTCCCTTTTGGATGGACAGAATCGAGTCGTTATTTGATTAATGGAGTTGGTTCTTTTTTCTTATTAAATAGTCTTTACAGTAATAAGTAATTTTTGCATTCCTGAGACAGTTTCTTTTTCCAGGAAAATGTGAAGACGAAGCATCCACAGCTGCTGTATGAATCAAAACTATACAAAATACTACAAGGAGGAAGTAATAAACATTGCTCTTTACCTTGTCTTGTTTATAAGTTCCACACTTTATAATACATTCTTGCTAACTTTTCGCAATTTGGACAGCTGGAATTCCAAACGTGAGGTGGTTTGGTGTTGAGGGGGACTATAATGTTCTTGTTATTGATTTGTTGGGTCCTAGCCTCGAAGATTTGTTTAACTTCTGCAGCAGAAAATTGTCTCTTAAGACCGTTCTTATGCTTGCTGATCAGATGGTATTATTTAATTCATTGTGTTCACCCATCCCTATGTGTTCTTCATGTTCTTGTTTATTAATGCTCTTCGAAACCTTTGCCTTCTTTTAGATCAATCGGGTTGAGTTCGTCCACTCCAAGTCCTTTCTACATCGAGATATCAAACCTGATAATTTTCTTATGGGCTTAGGCAGACGTGCCAATCAGGTTTCAATTTTGTTTGTTGTAAGATTTTGCATTTGGTTTTGTTTTGATCTATTCATCCAATGTCCTGTATCCATGTTACCATAGGTCTATGCTATTGACTTTGGTTTGGCTAAAAAGTACAGAGACACTTCAACTCATCAGCACATTCCATACAGGTTGGTTTATAATTAAAAATTGTTATCGTTTAATCCATATTGATCTTGTTAAACTGTGGATTCTTTGAGCACTTTTTATGAAGATCTCAGTTGTAGTATTCATTGTTTTCAGTGATGTCTTTTGGTGTGAATTTTGTTGGCGGGTAATGTAGTACTGGGTCATTGTTGATGCTTAAGATGCTTGGAAGCTCAAGATGTTAATCAGCATGCTATCCTTCATTCAGGACAATTCATTCAAAACGTTCTTTTTTTAAAATAATAATAATAATAATAATAATAACTCTAAAATCTAATATAATATATTGTCTTATAATATCCTAATTCCTAGGATAATGTAATATCACTCACTCATTTGTTTATTTCAAGTATTGGGGATTTGCTTCCATGATAAATGTTATGGAGTTAAATTATTGTCTGTTTCCTTTTCTAACTGTTAGTTCTTGGCTATCATGATATACTAAGAAAATCGGAAAAAATAGTCTAGCTCAGAAGAGAGTGAAAAAGGATTCTGCTACATTTTGCCGTGTATCTGGGTCTGTTGGTTAAGATTTTGGGCTTTGATTTAGATTCTAGACCAATGTTCTATGTTTGAACCTGTGTTCTGGTGTTGGAGGGCTGGTATCAATACCGTAAACATATACAAAAAAAAAAAAAAGCACTTTCCTTTTATCTGTTGATCCCAAAGGAACAATTTCCATGAGTTTGACAAATGTAAACTGCTGACAATTTGTAGAGAAAACAAGAATTTGACAGGAACAGCGAGATATGCAAGCATGAATACCCATCTCGGCATTGGTATCTGTTTTCTCTTTCCCTCTATTTTCTCACTCCTTCCAATAATCTACACACACACGTAATAGAACATAGATTTAGAAGTGAAGGAAAATGTAATAATTATTTTTAGTTCTATTTCCTCTACTTCTTACAATTTTGATTTCTTAACATACAGAACAAAGCCGCAGGGATGATTTAGAATCACTTGGATTTGTTCTTATGTATTTTTTAAGGGGCAGGTAAATATTTTTCTGTTATCATTTGTGATTCATTTATTGTGAAATATGGTGTGCTAACCTGTCTTCTCTTTAGTCTTCCTTGGCAGGGACTCAAAGCAGGAACCAAGAAACAAAAGTACGAAAAGATTAGTGAAAAGAAAGTCGCCACATCTATTGAGGTTAGTTAATCCATGTCTTAGGGTGGCATTTCTTGCTAATGATACAATTCTTGTTCCGAATATTATGAAATCCAATTAGATTATGCTGATATATTGTTCTGCTACAGGCCTTATGTCGTGGATACCCTACTGAATTTGCTTCATACTTCCATTATTGTCGATCGTTAAGGTTTGATGATAAGCCAGCCTATTCTTATCTAAAAAGACTCTTCCGTGATCTTTTCATTCGTGAAGGTTTGAATTATATAATCTGTTTGTTATGTTACTGTGTTGTACTGTTCTATTAAATTAAATGAAGTTATACTTTTCAGGTTTTCAGTTCGATTATGTGTTTGATTGGACCATTTTAAAGTACCAGCAGTCCCAGATAACCGCCCCACCTGCTCGTGCTATTGTAAGTTTTGGAATGCATGACATTGACTTTTCCCTTTATGCTAATACTCAATATCCATCCTTAATCCTTGTAAATTTTAAATTTTAGGCTGGTGCTGGACCAAGCTCTGGACTACCTATGGCTGTGGCCAATGCTGATAGGCACCCTGGTAGTAGATTCTG